GTATTAGCCTTTTCAAGATAGCATAGGCTTCTCTTACAGTATATACGCTATACATGAATTTCAAAAAAGCAAAATAAATTAAAAACAAGCTTGGTTTATACAGTAGTTTATGTAATTCAATGTCAGTTAAATACACTCCATGATTGTGTTGTGGCCGTAACAGTGGCCATATTCATTATTCTATAGTACAAATTCACAACATTTACAGCACTCATTTTGAAAAGAATCTCCCACCTCCTTTACTTTGCAAAAGTAGCCTCGAAAAGAAGCCCATCTTGAAAAGAAGCCCATCTAAAGTTCGCAAAAAAAAAATTCAATTCGAGGTTTTACGGTATTTGGTTGCCCTCATTGTATCTTAACTGGGGAGCTGAAATACAAGGTACTATAACGCACGGTCTTTTAAATGAGACATTCAAGTCGTTTGTCCCTTGTGCAATATGGTCGATGTGCATATTAAAGAAATAATACTCTTAAAAAAAAAAGAGTAGGGCATTGTCTTCCGGTGTACAGCCCAATTCACCACCAGAGGGTAGGGACCCACGGACGCACTGGAAACAGGAGTGGCGCCAGGACTTGCTTATCGTGGGTGGGGGAGGGGTTGTTTCCGACGAGAGCATAGTGGGCGTGGTTGGGCATCGCTCAAGTACGGTAGTCCATTGGAGCGCCAGAAAAATTTGAAAATTTAGGGGTTTTTAAGGCTTATTTAATCGATTTTAGAGTCTACTAATATATAGAAAATACATAATTATAATTGTTTTTCTCCATGAAGAACTGTGACTGGAAACAACCATTTGTCCTAAGAGATTGTAGGACAAATGTTAGATAATACTATTGCCGTTTTCCCTAAGCTGTTGGACCTAATTTTTATACATAAAAAAGCAATATCTTTTTTGAATATATTATTTAATTTTTTTTCTCAGCAGCTCCACTGGAAGCTATCTCATATGATCTAAGATACGATGAAAACCAGCGCGCGCATCACACCGACAAATACGAGAACAAGGAATTAGTTTTAAGGAGAGGGCAACACTTCATGGTGAATCTTGTTTTCGGGAGGGCGTTCGATGCTACCAAAGATAAAATATCAGCCGAACTCCGATGGGGTAAATATTCCATACGTTATTGTCTACCATTGATTATGTGTTTATTCATTCCGGTATAAACAAAATGTAACAATTTTAATTGTTTATTTATGTGATGCAAATGAATAATCTGATTGTATTACCGGTATTACATATTACAGAGGTGATACATATTCATTTTACGAGAAGGTTGTCGATTAACATTAAAAAAACATTTTTTTATTGGTTTGGCTGTCTATGTAAATTGTGTTTGCAATCTTTTATTCAATTTTAATTAATGTGTTTTTATATGCTTTTTTTATCTCTTCCGTTTTATCATTTTATTTTGGTTTTATGTCTGGTGCTGTGTTTCTTTTCTTTGTGTTGTGAATTTCTTTAATTTTGGTGTTTTTTAACTGTATAACTATTTTTGTAATACATTCATATACAGCCTTTTGGCTGTTTGTTTGTAATTTCTGAGTATTTTGTGTCTGAATCTGAATAAATTACTTTGAATGAAACATTATAATACATTCTTCTAATCAGTTTCACCCGAACATCCGGTAGACCATCAGACATTTGTCTGTCGGATGAAACGTTATTTCATGACAGCTGTCGGTCATTAATTTACGTAGCTGATATATTTCACTCCCATATATTTAATTAGGTATTTAGACATGAAATTGATATGCAGTACTGTATATAAAAAAAAGCCCGTAATGTTAGCTCATTGGCTAACTGACAGAGTAACTCTCATAAACATTAATGTGATCCGAGCGTGTATAGAAACAGTGGATGCTTGCTTACCGTAGTGGATATACTAACACAATATATATTACTTTTTATGTTGTTTATTTCAGGACCACTTCCAAAGGTATCGGACGGTACACGTGTTGTTCTTCCCACCCTCACAGAAGTGCCAGCACCTGACTTCGATGATTGGGGTGTACATGTTACCAGTGCTACTGGAGACCAGGTGTCACTTGCTATATATATCCGATCTGACAGTCTGATCGGAAATTTTGAATTGGTACTCTTCTCCGAGCTGGTTAAGGATGGCACGAGGAAGGCAAAGCATGTCAGTGATGGCATCTACATCCTTTTTAATCCTTGGAGCGAACGTAAGTACAGTAGTATCTGTATTATCATAGTATTATCAGTAGTAGTAGTAGTAGTAGTATCTTAATAATACATAATAATTATAATACAGGTATTTATAACCTCTAATCCAGGGGTGGGCATAAACATCGGTTGGAGGGCCAAATCGAATTTTTGACTTAACATGGAGGGTCGCACCCAAACTTTGATGTTTACGTGTGCTTCAAAAAACCTTCATGCACTGCTTTTATACCATTTTATTCTCAGTTTTTGCATTATTTTTTTACAGATGATCGTTGTCGGGCCGTAAGAAACAAGGTGGTTTCTAGTCAAAATATTTGGCGGGCCCCACACATAGGGTTTTTAATTCATTTTCGCTGGCCGCAAAAAAATCCCTGTGGCAGTGGCGTATCTATAATACCCGATTCACACGTACAAAAATCTTACCAAATGTAACAAAATGTAACCAAAAGTAACATTTTACGGCACGTGTGAAAGTACCTCCGTGTAATATCCTTGTAAAATCTCGGAGCGTCTCGGTAAAACTCTTTACCGTGATTTTTGGGGGTCGACTGGGGGGGGGGGGGGGTGCGTGCGCCCCATCCCCCACCACCGCGCTCCCCCTAGATACGCCACTGCCCACGGGCCGCACTTGCCCTCATGTGCTCTAATCCATAGACATTAGTAATCATCAGTAGCGAAACATATGGAATACTCCCCAGGGAGCTGAGTATGCGTTCCATATCTGCTTGATCCAATTACTTGATAATGTTAAGCACTTATAGAGGCCTTGTTGACATTAAGGGCAAGTCTTAACATTTATAACAGAATTCATAAATTAACTAACTGCTATACTAGCGGATGACAAAATACACCCTATGCCCCGCCCCTTGGATATTGTTGCTAAGGTCCCACAAAACGACAGCATATGCGAACACGTGCGTTTGTGGAACAACGTGCGGCGCTTGTTCTGATTGGTCAGTTATTTAGTTTGATTGACATTCCTGAAAATAATGTCCATTGTTTTAATTCCAGGTATACGGTATATATTATTTATAGGCAGTGGATGTTAAGCAGATAAACGCCTTTTTGTTTACACGTGAGAATAATCTCACGGTGTTTTTTCTTATGATTAGTTAGGGCTCCAAACCTATAGGATACCGGTATGCACACTGCGTTGTAAAGCCTGGTTTCCATTGAATCACTACACAGTCGCTACAGCGATTTTTACTGCAATCCTTGCACTTTAAATTACTGTCCCGACGCAATCGGGAATGCTCCTTGACCAATCAGCGTCGCCAAATAAGTCGGCGATAACGTGTTGCGTTTTTTTTTTGTTTTTTTGTTTTTTTTATAGAAACCAGACTTTAGACCGACAGCCAACGATTCCATACCGTCCGTGATTGTTCTTGATGTGACGTTGTCTGCTGATGGTCCACACTACCAATTTTTTTTGTGACAAAAATGAATGTGGCATCAGAGGTGGCGCTAGAATTTGCCCGACGGGGGAACCGAGGTCCCCGACGTGGGGGGGGGGGGGGGGGGGGGGGGCGATGCCCCCGACAAGGGGTAAAATCTACCCGACGAAAGCATAGTGGGCGTGGTCGAGCTTCGGTTAAAAGGCTACGAAAGTGGTCCAGGGGGAAAAGCCCCCGAAAATGTTGACAATTTAGCGGTTTCAAAGGCTTATTTAATCGATGTTAGAGTCTACTAATATGAAGAAAATACATTTATTTTTTTTCCTCCCCGACGAATTGTGCGTTTTTTCCCCGAATTGTGGCACCCGGCTCCCCGCTGGCGCTCTCCTGTGTGGCATGACCGTATTTGGGTGTAATATGACATCATCCAGCCCATATAATGGGACGTCACACACATTTGTCCCACAGCATTTGCTGTGTAACAGCCCACACCTCGTCGTCGCGTTACGTTCTCCATCGCGCGTAGTGCGTGCTCATCTTAAGTCTGTAAAAATACAATATTTCTTATGTATAACAAATCAACAACAACATGTGTAATGTACACCATAGATATGTATTATAAAGCGATATACAGTGAATAATTTAAATCCCGCACTTGGACTTTAGCATAGCTTACTTGAATCGATAGATGATGATGTGTACATGCACAGTGAAGAGGAAAGACAGGAATATGTCCTGAATGATCAGGGAATGTATTTCTACGGTTCAATGAAGAGTGTCGGTAGCTCCAGATGGTACTTTGGACAGGTATGTAGATCTGGTGCTGTTTCGGATTATTTATGTTACATTTTTGCTAAGTCTTTCATTGAAGTCTCCATCTCATGACGTGATTATAATTGTTTCAGCTTAATTGATAGAAAAAGTAATCCTTAAATATCCGTAAATTTACAGCATAGCTTCTTAAAAAGGTCCTTAAAAATAATTTTCCTGGACGTTTATCTGAAATAATCGCGACGTTTCACATACTAGTTTTGACAATTTAGGGTTCCAATTAAGGCTTATTTGATGTATCTCTATAGTCTAGTATTATAGTACTAGTACGTAAAATACATAGACTTATATATTTTTTCTTTTGCCCGAAGAATTGTGTTTTCCTCTCCGACTGTGTGTGTGGGGGGGGGGGGGTTGGAACAGTTCTCGTAGTGCAACCCCTGATTTCAGATAATAATATCTCACCTTACAGACACTTTATAACAACGTTCCCAGTTTTAGTAAAAATGTTTTCTATAGAAAAATACGTATTTATAATGTTATTTCTGACTAAATAGCTAAATATGTTTTACTCAATTAGTTTGAAGACTTCGTCTTGGAGTGTGTATTTGAACTGCTTTCGCAATCAAGATTGAAGAATCGGTCGTTTAGTGATCCCGTATTCGTTGCTCGTATGCTTTCATCACTGGTATTATTATTATTATTATTATTATTGTATACTTATATAGCGCATATCAAACTTCTTACCACGTTTTGTTATGATTTAATATCGTTCTCTAATTTGTTTGATTTGGTCAAAGGTCATCAGCACAATTATATAGTGAGTCTTTGACAGTCTCTCTTGGATTACCTATGAAACTATTAAACGGAGTTATTAATTATTAGATTCCAAGATCAAGCGTTTTTTTTTTTTTGTTTATATTCAATATTGAACGATCTAACAACTTGCTATATTCATTTCATGGTAATCTAATACAGTACATTATATTGTAAAGTGAGCATTTCTAACTGTTGTCAGACAGCAGTGGTGGACCAATGGGGCCCAGGTGACAGAAGGGCGCTGTGTGATTGGCACACATGAAAATCCTAAACCAGCTTACCATGGACTATTTATAATAGCCTACTAATGTTGTAACAATTAAAGCCTATGTACAACAAAATGTGTAACAATTAAAGCCTATGTACAACAAAATTTGGTACAATGGTGTAATTTTAAGATTGGGAATTATTGAAAACAATCCTCAAATAATTAAAAATTACATTATTAAGGACATCAATGGCGGATCCAGGAACCCAGTGAGGGATTTTCACAGATGGAGGGTCTATACTAGGCTACTATTAGCCCCACCTTGGTTAGGGCTAAGGGAAGAAAACTTATGATTATGCCATCCCTAGAGGCCGGAAATGGCACTCTTAGACTCAAAATTCTTCTCAATTTTCTTCTCAATTATTGTTTTTAAATTTGAAATACTTGGGGAAAGCTTTTAAAATGTATAAGTGCTGCAATGCTTAATCGAGTAGACCTATCTAGGGTATTTTTTTTTTATATAGATGAATTCGTTAGATAATGATGGTGTTCTTGTCGGGAACTGGAGTGGCGATTACGAGGGTGGTACCGAACCGACCGCCTGGACCAGTAGTTCTGCTATTATCGAAGAATTCTACAAAACCAAGTTGCCTGTGATGTTCGGCCAATGCTGGGTGTTTGCCGCACTTCTTACAACAGGTAGGCAACGTGATAGGCTGATAACCAATGGGGGATCCAAGAATTAAAAGGAGCCCAGAGAGTCACCTTTACAGATAGAGGATTTTGAACAATTCAGCACCACCATGGTTGGGGCTGAGACATAAAAAACATTTATGATTATGGCACCTCAGTCATGGCCGAAAATGGCACTCTCAGACTTAATTTTTTTTCTCTATTTTAAAAAATGATTTTGACAAATCGATGATTTCAACATGCGCTTGCCGTCACCAGAATCCCAACATTGAACAATGATATGGTTTTTATGTTGGTAAATGTGTTCGTCATTTTAATGCCAATGATTAAGATTTCGATCGTGTGTACGTAGGAGGAATATCCAATTAGGCCTACATGTTAATTAATGTTATTACCACTATCAGTGACGCAACCAGGGGGATTTATGAGACCGGGGCAATTACTGTATTACTTTGTCATTGTGCTTTAACGACGAAATAAATGATATGATATCAGTGGCGGGTCTGTTTCACTGATGGAGAATACCACTTCAGTCCCACCATGGTTGGGGTTGAGGTAAGACAATTTCTGATTATGACACCTCTAGACTGCTGGAAATGGCACTCACCGACTTTAAATTTGAATATAATTTCTGTTTGTCTCCACTTTAATCCGTCACTGGATGTATGATACAGTTGATGTCAGAGACACAATTATGCTGTTATATGTATCAACAAAACTCTTTTGCATCAGGGTGCTAGAGTTAGACCGCCGCCCGAGAGCGCATAGGCGTTACGCCACTGACCATCAAATTTTACAATTATTTTTTTTTTTCAGTGTATAGGGCAATTGGTATACCAGCACGTAACGTTTGCAATACTGGCTCGGCCCACGATACCGACTTTAACTGTCTCGTTGACAAGCACTACGACAGTAACGGGCAGCCAATGCCGGAACTTGACGAAGATAGCATTTGGTAGGCTCGGATTATTATAATATTAGTATCCTTATATTAATCTACAAACGTCTGTCGAAATATGAGCAAACGTTTCCTGTAGAATGATACTGTAATTTACTCCAACAGCCTCGTATATCGTAACACAAATAGACATGTCAGTAGTTAGAATGTTTGTTGGCAAGTCGGATGTTTATTATATTACAGATGTGACAAAACAGGGCTGGGTTCTGAGCACAATGCTTTCTTTAGGCAGTACGATTTGTTAATGAACATTTCAGTAGCTGCATCATTGGTGAAGGTCAATACGAATATTATTCTGTGCGCTGATTATTATTTACAGCATTGCACGCGAGCTATTAGGATATCTGCTATGATATTTTGCATTTCAATGATTTTTTACATTCTGTGGCGAAGAACATTCCGATTAAGCCTACTGTCTATGTTAAGCTAATATTGTGGAAGCATGCGACGCAGAAGGCATTGGGATTTTAATCAGGGGGTTGTGGGTTCGAGACCGACGATAGTCACAATCTATCTGCCCTTGACCAAGATACTATCAACTTCCCCCAGGAGTATAAATGGGTACATGGTGGTAGGTGAATGACTGGGAATACAATTTCATAACTAAGAATACTCTAGGGAAGCGCATTAATGGACCTTTCATGGGGTGTCAGTCAAACTTGACAACTGACCCAGAGCAAGGCTAGGAATACGCGCGTGTCCTGAAACACACGTGTTCCACAAAGGCACGTATTTGCGTAAGTTTTTACACTGTCTTTGTGGGACCTTAGGAGCAGTAGCCTAACCGAGGGGTAGAGCTAAGCGCAAAGGTCTATTGGGGATGTGGTGGGGAGTGATATAAGCTTTTCAGACCTTCAGTTGTGCCTAATAAAAACATTTTAGCCTACTCATTTTATATGGTAAAATGGATTTTGATTATCCAGTTTTTCCAAACACCTCCTCCCCTGCCCAAATGTGTCTGAATACTAAGTTATTTTTGTACCATATTCTTAAACAAAGCCAACCGATACTGTTGCAGTATAGTATAGTATAACAATACCATGTTTTCTCGATTCGACACTATAATTTTATGAGGTCAATCTAGACTTAAGTAATTCAACTTAGACACGCAGCTGTTGCTGCATAATTGGGCATAACATTAGCTATATCCATTATCATTATCTTCACTTTCAATTTCAGTTTCATATTTACCACAACCTTCGTCTCATCTCCATCTTCATATTAATCAAAATCAACTCAATTATATTTTTTCATGATAATTTATTCATTTGTTATTTTTTCAACATGAAATTTGTTCAAGCATTAAATCTAACCTTCGTATAATAATTTTTCTATAGTGTACTATGCGGAGCTCTACTAATTGCTTATTTTAAATCTGTTCATCTTCATTAACACCTTCATCTTCATCCATCATCACTTCGTCTGTTCTTTACACCTGTTATCATATATATATTTTTTTTAGTGATAAACAAAAAAAAATTGATCTCTGTTCAAATAAATCATTTATCAAAATTTGTAATATATAGTGTTGTGTCTGACTTTATGTCTGTCTGTGTTATGATTAATAAAGGAATTTTCATTGCTGGGTTGATGCTTGGATGGCTCGACCTGATTTGCCGTCTGGATATGGAGGCTGGCAAGCTCTCGATGCGACTCCTCAGGAAACTAGTTTTGGTTTGTATTTACGTACTCCAGTTATTTTTATTTCAGTGTTTCAAAAACGTGTCAAATATAAGTGCATTATTATTCATATCTGTCAGATTAATAATGTTGGTTATGGTTGTGATACCTTATTGAAAAGTAATGATATATTAATTATTGTTCTTAGATTTTAAGTAGCCATGTTATTTTGTCAAATTTATTGCAGTCCAATGGTTTGTTTTTAATTATTAACCATTAAACCTATACAGTACTGTACATATTTTTTAATCGGAAATTTACCAAACGCTACAACTTTCATACTCAACAAAGTGTGTCTTTGCTGAGGTTAACGCATGATGGCTAAATGGAAGTTTGATAAAGATTTTGGTTTATGGTTGTGATAATGAAATTAATGATATACAGTATTGATTATTTTTCTAATTATTGTTCTTTCATTTTAAGTAGCCATATTATTATATCAATTTATTGTTGTCCGATGATTTGTTTTCTATTATTAACTAGTAAACCTATATATACATTAATCAGGAATTTACCAGATGGGTCCAGCTCCCTTGATCGCCATTAGGAAGGGGCATGTCCAACTTTCATACGACACAAAGTTTGTCTTTGCTGAGGTTAACGCTACGACGGTGAAATGGAAGTTTGATAAAGATTTAAGTAAGGTAAGTACGTGACATTATCGGCAATTTCCACAACAATTTACCTTTATCAAAGTAAGCATCTTTATCAATAATAATAATATCAATATTGGTAAACTAATATCAATGTATTCATTGTAGCCCCCAACGCCGTTTGACATTGATGAGGCAGTAGTTGGATACATGGTCGTTACTAAGGCTGTAGGGAAGTTTGAAAAGTTCGAAATCACAGATCAGTACAAACCAGAAGAAGGTAATGTAAAGTTAAATTCTTTTTTACCATGTCTAAATAAATAACCTCTTTTTCACCTTTAATTGTTGAAAATAATGACGTACGCAAAGGTAAATACGAAATATAGGGATATAGTTCTATAATTAGTCCTACTGTAGGTGAGCATATTAGGTTGTCTAAATAGATTGTTAGACCATATTATTTGAAAGCGTTTGTATTTCAACAGCTTTAGGAGCAGTGGCGGCACCAGCGGGGGACAGGGGATTAAGTCCCCCCACCGGACAGGTCAAGCCCCCCACCCCCGCCGGACAGAACTCGTCGGGCAGTCAGACAATAAAACGTACGGTATAATAGGCGCACACCAAGCCAGCACATGTCTGTCACAGTTTGAGAGTGCCATTTCCGGCCATCCAGAGGTTGTTATTCCTAAAGAAAATCTCATTTGGGAGGGGAACCCCACTAAACTCCTTTCCCCAGCGTGAGCCTACGAGCTCAAGTCCCCCCGTCGGACAACTTAGCCACCCGGAATATATATCCTAGAGCTGCCACTGTTTAGAAGTACTGTTGGACTCCTGTTGTCATGAAAATTCAATTCTCTCAAAATGAAAATAAAGCCAGGTACATCTGCGCCAGACTGTAGTCCGCCGACCTGATTTTGTGGAGGCTTGCGCACTGCGCGCAAGCCTCCACGGTTCAGGTTCTTAAACGGGTCTTAAGGTAAGTCAGTCATAATACCGAAGTAAGCAGACGGCGTCCCGTCGCCAAGTGCTCACGCCCGAACGATCCTCGTAATATGCAGTGCGTGCCCGGAATTACGTCATATTAAGTTTAGCCTGGTTTTCATAAAATCCCACGCTATCGCAGACAAGTTGGTGAGGCCGGTTGCCCGGTCGAATCAGACAGCCTTCCCGATTGCCTCAGGGACAGCCACTTATTGTTAAAAAATTCGTCAATAAATGTTAAATTAACGAATATAATCTTTTGTGCAGGTTCGGTTAGCGAATATTTTACTCTACGTAATGTCAACAAATATGTCAGTGACGTCAAAAAGCTGTTTCGTGATATCAAGAAAGATGTGCAAGTGGAATTGGTCACACCAGAAGATGTCATGATTGGTCAAGATGTTGAGCTGGTTGTGCTCCTACACAGTGAGAGTGATGAGAAGCGTTCCGCTGGAGTCTCTGTCACGGCCGATTCAGTTTACTACACTGGAGTCCGAGCGAAAGAGGTTAAACGAGATTTGGAGCTGATTAAGCTTGCCTCACATGGAGGTACACTACAATATAAGTTTACGCTGTTATAAAATCAGAATAGAATGATTGATGAACGCAGGGAACAACAAGGCCCAGGATTCAGTAGGGACCACTAAATTTTAATTTTCAACTTTCAATACATATAAACCTGTCTCTTATACACATCTAGATGTGTATAAGAGACAGAAACCAGAAGAAGGTAATGTAAAGTTAAATTATTTTTTACCATGTCTAAATAAATAACCTCTTTTTCACCTTTAATTGTTGAAAATAATGACGTACGCAAAGGTAAATACGAAATATAGGGATATAGTTCTATAATTAGTCAGATGGTGAATACCGCCTAAAAATAACAGCACAAGAATACCTGCACAACCTTGTCGACCACGCGGGAATTCGCTTTTCCATTAGTGTCTTGATGCTGGAGACTGAACAGTTGTACACTAAGGGCATTGACTATAAACTCAAGAAGCCGACAATTACTGTTACGGTTTGTTTATGTACTTATTTTCAGTCTAATCAATGAGTGACTCAGAACTTACTGAATGAGAAATACTAATCTGTGATGGATGATCTATAAACCCAGTCTTGTTATAATGCTTAGTTAGAGAATTAAGTGGTTTTTTTAGTCCATGAGAAAAGTATTTGCTGAAATTGGAATGTGGAAACCTCCAAACATAAGGCTACCTCTCCACTTTTCCACCTAGTATTAGGTACAATTCATATTCGTGTAGTAGCTTCACGTAGTATCAACTGTGCATGTCTATGTCAAAGGTCAAACAAATCACACCGCGTATGTATCTTCTGTATCTGTATAAGTTTTTGATTAGTCAAAACAAAAAGATCAAAAACTCTTAAGTATAACACCTTATAAACACTCAGACGAGTGTTGGTTTTATAATTTGATCCTAATATTTGCCATGAAGAATTGAAAGTAAATGAGCGCCATTAACTATATAACATTCTATGAGATGTTGTATATGGATTATATATCTTCTTTCTATTGGTCTATATGTGATCTGTGGAGTAGTGGTTTGCTGATCCCTATAATGCATTCGCGGAGAGCGTATTGTAGGCATTGGCTGCAGTTGCCCAGCTAAACTATAGGCCCCTACTATTTATAAAGTTAATATGTTGTTTAACACATGATTTTTTCTAGGCACCAGCAACTGTTTCTAAAGGAGCAAAGTTTGTTGCTAAGGCTACGTTTACTAATCCGTTGAACATCAAGTTGCAGAGCTGTTATTTCAACTTTGACGGATCAGCGATCGTTGGATACAAGAAGCAACCATTTAGGTAGTTAATATTTTGTATAAGAGACGGTTATTACAAAACAAAATAAAAGTATTAAAATCGCAACCAATGACATAAGAGGCCGTATGTAAATTGGCTAATTTGTATGATTTCATGGGAACGGTTCCACGTCCTCATTAATACTAATTAAGGACATATCTGTCATACATTACGTATAATTTGAAGTAGGCGGAGCCAATTTGTTAAATTGTGGTTAACATTTTGGCAAACCGAAATTGCTAAATTAGAATATTTATTTATTTGTAGTAAAGAATATAAACATCTATTTCTGAGTATAAGCCTACTTTCTTTACAAAGTCAGAATATTATATATACATTAAATATTAAATTTCAAAAAAAATTATTTAGAAAAGAGGAGGAGGTTGAATACAACGATATACGGTTATTACTGAAATGATGAATATAAAGGGAGTGGTGAGCAGCAACATTTGGAAATTGTGCTTTTAGGTGGTTTCTTATTCGCCGTAGAGGGCGTGTTTTTTACATTCCAGCACCTTGAGCCTTCGGAATATTAACGAGTTTATCGTTCTTATTAATTTGGTAATATATCTATTTTTACATCCAGGAATGTGAATCCCGGTGAGACGGTCAGCTACGAGACGGAAGTGACTGCCAAACAAAAGCTAGGCGTGAAAGATGTTATTGTCACATTCACATCAGCGGATCTGATCGGTGTGGGCGGCGATGTGGATATTACCATCGTTAATTAGTATAGGCCTATAGATGTAACAGAGGCATAAAGATACAACGTTACCTCTTCATGGTCTTGAGAAAGCTCGCTAAAAAATTAATTTTAAAATTGAATTGCTCGTTTTTAATAAGTATAGGCCTAGCTATAACAGAGGCAATACACCAGTACCGTCTTTAGTACTGAAATCTTATAAAGCTCACTTAAAGTGATAATTTTAAACAACTAAACTACTCTTAACTTTTAATTTGTTCGGGATTGAAAAAATTCATCTTTTATAGATTAAAAGGAAAAAAATAATATACTGATTTTGTGATGAATAAAAAAAGAGGTTAAAATTTTAAAATACTACGGTAAAATACAACACACAAAAATGTACTCCAGATCATAAAATTAATGGAGAAAATATAAAAAGTAATTTGCAGGAAGTAAAACGAAATTGAATCGATAATTGAGATTAATTACACATTTTGATGGAGTATGGTGGATAGTAAATATAAAACATGAGTTGCAAGAGTAACATATATATTTGAGTTCTTGACTAAGCAGACATAACTGCTGACTAGTATTGCATATTCATTGATAAAGAGATTCATTGCACATTCTTATGGGGTATGGGATGAATGAGTTTAGATATTTGCTGATGATTGGAGACATATTTTTTGTATTACTAATTTATAATTTTACTTCTAAGATGTAATTATTTCTGTTTGTCTTTTTCACTCGTAGAGCTCCTAGTTTTAAAACAAATTTGAATTTAAAACATTTATTTGCTAGGAATCAAGATTCAAGATCCAATTTATTCGGTCCAATAAAATGGAAATAACATTTCATTTCATTTGAAAATTTGAAATATTTAAAATACAAAATGTGTTTTGTATTAGTTTTACATAGTAGAAAATCAATCATATGCACTTCTGAAAGAAACGTAAGATTAGGTGTTTATTTATTTGTTTATTTATTTGACTTCACATAGGCAAAATACAATAAAATATCAATGACATGAAAGATTGCCAGTGATGGGAAAAGACCAACAGGTGAACAAAACGTCAAAATAATACGTCAGAACATGTTATTATGATGGCAATGAAGATACGGTACGGTAAAGTTTTAATAATATGTGCTTTTTTAAGTAAGTGTCTTTTAAAATGACGGACACGCCAGTGATATAAATGTTAAAGATATTTACTGATGATTAGAAACATATATTTTTTTTAAATATTGAATATCACTGCGTCTCTTTACGTATTTATTTATTGACAGTGATTTGTAACACCGATCTTAGACGAATTCATAATTCTGATTGGCTATTATTATCATAAACCAACCAATATGCATACAATAATTCACTTTTTCCTGATTAGTTGTTTATCCACAGAATGTCACGCTAAATTTGATTTCAAGATAATTATAAAGTATTATATTATAGATTATTAAGTTTATTTATAATAAATTGTATTACAAAATGTAGATATTTTATCAGAACGTGTATCTCAATCATTTGCCTTCGTAATATCCACGAAGACTATTTTAATTGTTTACTGGGAGAACGTGTTCCGGTAGTGTAAATGTATATTTTCTTTATTTAAAATAGTTTATGAAGATCTTCCAAAATTTCAGAGACCTAAACGTCATTTGCTCATTTGCTTTGTTTGCTAATAGTATTCACTCAGCTTATGTGTATAGGTTAATTACCGAACAGTGTTGTAGTCGAATGATTCGTTTCAATAACATGCTCGTCATTTTGCAGATTTTATTGAATTTGCTTGGAACTGATTCACCTATCAAATACAATTATATACATCATGCCACTCATCATAAAAATAATGGTGTAAGATTAATACTACAACTTGCCATACCAAACACTCAAAACTCATTTTTTGCGCTGACATGTTTTTTTTTTAAATCTCAACTAAATGAATGCACTCGTCTCTCTAAAGGCATGCAGTTAAAATATATCGTGTATCGTGTATCAGTCGGGAACGTCGTAGTTCTGGTGAGTAAAACCGACTTCGTAAGGACTCCAAATAGTGTTGCCTCGATCAGCCCAACTTTCGCCCCCCCCCCCCCCCCCCTTCGGCCAAAGCTCGTCGGCAGTCGGACCAAAAAGTCATTAGCAGGCTTGCCTTACCGCCCCAGGCCGCATTGGAAGTGATAAATAGGAAACTCATAATCACACGATCGTCGGCTTCGGGAGGAAAACCACATTTGGTAGTGAATTATGTCAGAAAAATAACGTATCAGAGTTATAAATACGTATCAGTGGTTCTACAAAAAAGAAACTAAATTGCAAAATAAAATGATTAGCTGTATATTTGTTTTTGAATAATTGTTAATCCATGAGTTAAATGGATTAATTATCATTGGAGTGCGTTGCAGTGGTACACCTTTGGCATTTAAATTGAATAGTTATAATGCGTAGTATAACCGTTTGATAGACTTCTTATGTCCCAACTTTATAATAGAAGGCTTTGGCCCAATAGCTCTCCCCCCCCCCCTCCCAAGAGTGCCATACCAGTTTGTGCAGTATTTACTATTGTTATTTTTAAGTTTTTAAACTACCCTTGGAATTAAGTTTATATTTGTCCGTGCAGAATAATCTGATTGCCACTGTGCCGTACACCAGGGATTTAAGGTGCGGACACCAGCCAACTCACTCTCAGACACTCTAGTGGTAGCAGCATCTATTCTAATAAATGTATGGAAATTTTGATTTAATTGGGTGTCATACTCTGCTGCTTCAGGGGTTGCTTAGTCATAAGTTCTTGAAGTTAGAGGCAGATGAAGCTTTAACTATTTCTTCAGGCAATGTGTTCCAGGCAACTGCAGTCTTAGAATAGAATGATTTATTGAAGTAATCTTCTGTTGAAGAGAGAATACGGTTTGTTTGGCTATTTTCTCTTCTTTTTTCTTTTGTATTCCCTTTGGAGGTAGGAGGCATGTCTATGGCGACAAGGCGTTTATGAATTTTGTAAAAGGCGAGCAGTTCTCCTTCTGTTTTCAAGATTTTCCCACTCCAGCCATTTTAACATTTCTGCTACACTTGCTTTCTGCTCATAATTGTTAACAACAAATCTGCGCTGCCTGCTCTTTTTTGTACTATTTCAATCTTATTTATTATTTGTTTATTTATTTTATTTCATTTCATTTCACCCCAAAAGCGAAAACGCCAATAACAGGGATCATACAATAAATAAAATATAAAATCTCAGCGAGAAAATCGATAAAATCAAAATAAAAACATTCAAAAATATTATGAACAGTACAAAAATATTCAAATTAAATCAATTTACAATAGTTAATATTATATACAAGGAACATTATAAGAAAATTCAATAAAATTCCATTCCAGAGCAGGTGAATGATTAAAAGATCAGTTTAACTTGGGCTAAAAATGAATGAAGAGGTTTGTGAAATATATAAATTAATGGCTCATTGTTTGTAACAGAATTATATAAAGAGGAAAGCCTACTGATAAATCCACATTTGTCTGGATGAAATTGCATCTGCCAGGTTGAGCTCCATTGGTCAAGAAGATGTAGATCTTCTTGGAGATTGATTGTATCATTGTTGCTAGTGATCGCAGAATATATCAGTGCCGAAACTGTGATCTGAGATTTACATGAATGTCGTTTATGAATAACAGAAAAAGACCAGGTCCAATAACTGACCCCTGTGGTACCCCAGATAACACTGGGATATTACACCAGAGGCAACACCATTCCAATAAACATTTATGTAGCGCCAATTCAAAAATTTATCAAAGGCGCAGGAGAAAACAAACTCAGTAACATTTCTCAAAAAGGTGAAACTTTAAGTTCTTCTTTTAAGTTTTGTGATGAGACGTTGATGTCCAGCTTTGTCAAAGGCTTTAGAAAAATCAAAAGTATATAAATATCTGTATGTTTTTGCCATCTTCCATGTTGTTCGAGCGACTTCATTGACAAAGAGGTGAGATGCACACATTTTATTTCAATTTATTAAAGAAAAAAAAAACACTAAGGGGAAGGGAAATACAGAATGTACATGAAATACATTAAACGACTTCTCCAATTAGAGGCCACTCCAATTAAAGACCACTTTTCTGTGGTCCCAAATTAACATTTGTCTTTTATTCTTATAGTTAGAAACCAAAGCTGCTAAAGACTATGGAAACCCTGGTCTCAAAAAGTGGTATTTAATTGGAGGGAGACCTGTACAGCAACGTACAAGTAAATGTTATTATTAGTAGAAATCAGCTAAAAAAAGAACGAAATGAAGAACTGGTGAACTCTTTCACAGTTTATTAGGCCTTCAATACAAATTAAATGTTGCGTAATGTACTCAAATAAAGTTTTTAAACAAATCCAAAACTGAGGGCGCAATTTGGACACGATCTTTTCGACTATATAGAGGGCGCTTTTCAAGATGGCTGCGTCCATGGCTGTGACATGAAATGAGTTTGTGTAGGTGATATCTTAATTTGTTTATTTCTGTGAGAATGTCTGCTAAAAAGAAATCACAGAGAGCAGAATGGATTAAATGTGACATTTGCTCTGTGTATATTTACCAAAAAGAGCTTGAGAAGCATTTACAGGGGAGCTGTAGCAGAGAATTGTCTAGGAGGCTCTCGGATCATCTCAATCTCAGCTATGTTCAAGATCAGGTTTTCAACGCCGAAGTATGTCAACAGGTTGAAAAAGGTAGGCCTAGCTAGGATAATTTGCTAGGGTTTTTATTTTACAATTAGATCAGAACGTCTGAAAACGATTCGAAATTTGTCTCTCGTGGGTGTCTGCTCTACCCAAGGCAATGTCAATCAATCAGTGATGTATTATGTATTAATTATCGCCTATTTATGCCTACAATTCTAGCTGGCCTAGGCCTACTGATACTAAGGATTTACTGAGTGGAGCTTACCTTAAAATAATCTAATAGGATATCTTGCGTATAGCAGCACTCTAATTACAGCCTACAGGGCACAGCAGTACTCCAATAGATAGTTTTGTACTTCAATCATACAGGATTCAATACAATACTAAATGTATCTGATAGCATATGCTCAACAGTATCTTGCATGAAATCCAGTGTACGAGTGACGACGATTCCCCGAGGCCTCCTTGGCTGCATACCTGGATGCAGGATATGCAAATACACAGACACTGAGGTCAGGGGTGATTACCATTGATCGGTCTCTCGAACAGACGGCGGCCGTCACTACACTCCTCCTTTACTTGAAAAGAGCTCATAATATCCTGTATGAAATCAGTTGAATAATATATGTGCTCGCTTTGTTGCTGATTGTAAAGGAAGCCCGGTGAACGTACACCGATGCCCTCAATGGGGAATGCAGGAAGTAGTTTTCTTGGATGTTCACTATGCTGAATCATCCAGGTCTCAATAAAATAAAGTTTCCTCAACAAAAGATAAGAATAAAATAAACACTTCTTTGCAGGATACAAATTGAACTAGAAGATGTCTCAATGTTCTTCCAAGTCAGATCTAAGCTCTGCCTGGGATCCCGGCCGAGCACCTCCCCGACTGCTGTTGCTGTCGCCCACAGGAGATGAGGTGCATCAACTTGATGACCTGCCGGTGCAAAATGTGGTCCGCCTGACTCGATCAGCAACCGTCGGTCATATGTGGGTTCTATATGCTGGCATGCCTGAAGAGCTGAAATATGTGGCAGGGAAATGGCGGCGATAGGCATCGGCAATGGCGACGGTAGAGGAATAGTTGTGTAAGAATACTCTCTGCTCTCGCGGAATGCGGAACAGCCTCATAATGTCCAGGGCTTGCGAGTAACATTCCTTTGCTTTAGGGTCCCCGGCCATAACCCTCAGATGTAAGCACACAACCTGATGCTGGTGATGAGCATAGCACCGGTTCAATACCTGTCTGAACAAACTTTCTTGGCAGTACCAATCAGAGGGAGGCCTGGAATGGTGAAGGCCGATTTCCCCTAATATTTTCACCTCTCTCATCCTTGAGAGTGCATAGAGTCGGTTTGCTTCGGATGGATTCCAACAGCAACGTTGAAGTGCAGGTCCCTTGTGATGAAATTGATTTCCCGTGCCGTGGAGTAGGTTTGAGGGTCACAGTAAACTGCAGCGCCTCCCACCACAGACATGAGACAGATGTCACCCTGTGATGGCTCTGCCCGCTCCAGGTCACTGAGTGTAGCCACGCTGCTCCAGTAGCTGTCCACTGGATGGCTCTCCGCTGCAGGCTCCATCAACGACTTCACTGGCAAACATTCTGCAAGTGGTAGCGGCTCCAGTGGTAGCGGCTCCAGTGGTAGCGGCTCCAGTGGTAGCGGAATAGGTGAGTCGACGAGGACGCATTTAACTCCACATCCACCTCATCGGCGGATGATGATGTCACTTGGGTAGGCTTATCCTTTCCATCTATTCCTATGAGAGTAAGGGAATATACTGTATATTTTGACTTGATGTTAGCCAAGGAATTTGAACTGAATTATAAAAGTGCCTGTCCAGGGTTGGTGAGAACTGCAATACAGTGTTCCTTGGGCATCATCCGGCCAATGTACAGTAGTAATTTAGTATACCACACAAGCACTAAAAAACAAGCTTTTGTTCACAGCGCCAATGTAGTAATTATCCTAATTAAACTACATTGGCAAGCCTTTTGCTCGCAGCACCAATAAAATAATTAAGATAAGATAAAGATAAATAACTTTATTTGTCCTTGCAAAAAAAATGACAAGGAAATTCCTCTTCCATTGACATACAAAAATACAGTAAAAGATTTAAAAATGGGAATTCACAAACCACGAAAAACATCAGAAGCCCTACAGTAGAAACAGCTAAAGTAAACAATAAGATAAATTAATACCGCTATCCAGTATTCAGTTACCATTGAATCTAACAACACCTTCATTGTATAAGTGGATGGCATTTGCCACAAACAAGTATCGAAATCTATTACGCTTAGCATTAAGTGCTCTTACAGTAGTCTAATTCCAGACCTCATGAAAATAAACAAATTATAAAGTGGATGAGATCGGTCTTTAAGTATTTTGCATAGCATATTTTAACATTTTTAATATAAATATTTTCAAAATAGTCTAATTCTATTCCTATACATCTTTGTGCCATGTTACAAGTTAGTTAGGATCCGATGTAAACGATCAGGTATCCATCATCCACCACTATGCACTTTGTGGGTATACGACAATAAAGATACAATACGAGGTAATAGTTATTGAGGTTTAATTTCTCAAACAAATGAACAAATGAGCATCTAACGTATGGATGCACAGCGTCAAGATCAATACTACATTGAGACTTGGGTTTCTCGAATGTATAAGCATCAAATGTATGGATGTATGGGGTAAAGAATACTACAGTTTCACCTACATACAGGCATGCAATGCTACTACAATTTCGCATATAAATTATAAAGTAATAATTCTTAAGTACATCTAACGTATAGACATACAGCATAACATAAAGCATTAAGGATATGTTTTCAAGTCCTTTACTAACTACTGGCTTGGCTTGTGTACGCGTCGCTACCATACCACGCGTCCTTTAGCGGCATCCAACCGGCTTAGCTTTACAATCCACAGCCCACGTGCTTGAATCGGTTGAAGCAATTCCTGTCGTCGTACCACAATCGCTCTACAAGGCCAGAACACCCAGGCTCAATCTGTTGCTAATTCCAGGTTATCTCATTCAACGAGGTGTGTCTTTCAGTTCAATCTCACCCTCCAATGAGCAGAACTAGCCGCAATGAGACGATTTCCAGGCTTACACCAACGTTTCACGTTTCGCCCTACTGTAGTAGCCAACGCTGAAGAGACCCACTTCCACCTACTGTACTGTTATATACGCAATCAGCCAAGTATTGAAGGCCATCAATTCATAATAAATTGTTGGAAAGCCAACACGGCAAAATACTCGTAACATGCCATCTTCCTCACTCAACCTCTCCATCTTTTTCTTATTATTAACACCAAAATCACCAAAGGTGCAAACAATGCCAAAAATAAGCGCATTCTCAATCACAGGTTGGTAGAAAAGTTATTCTCTCAACATTTAACAAATTGTAATTTTAGTTTTTCATTAATCGTAACTCCAAGGTTTCACTGACTCTCTCAACATTATTACCATTAATGTCTACATCTTTATGTTCCGGATGTTGCAACCGAAAACCAAAGATAATTTCTTTTGTTTTTACTAATGTTAAGGGTAAGGTAGTTAACCTGGTACCATCTTGAAAATTACCAATTTCATTTTCGTACACGACCGAGTCATTACTAAGATAACCACAGATCACCATGTCATCGGCATATTTAATAATCTTAACATTCCTTGAATAACTGATACATTCGCTTGTAAATATTGAAAACAAAAGAGGAAGAAAGGCGCATCCTTGAGGTGTACCAGTCTACTTGTATTACATTTTGACGTTTTTCCTACTTTAACATGTTGTTGTCTATTTGTTAAAAAACATTGAATCCACATGGGTAATCTTGGATTAATATTCATTCCCATTAAATTTTAATTTTTTAAAAATATTCATTCCCATTAAATTTTTTAATGATCAGGTTATCGCCTATATATACTGTGATACAAAGGATAATACCGAGTGGAGCTTACCTTAATCCAATATGATATCTTGCGTATAGCAGCGATAAATACTCCAATATATAATAGCACAGCATTCCAAATGCAGGGCACAGGAGTACTCCAATAGGTAGTTCTGTACTCCAATCGTACGGGATTCAATACAATACTAAATGTATCGGATAGCATATGCTCAGCAATATCTTGCGTGAAATCCAGTGTACAGTACAAGTGACGAGGATTTCCCGAGGCCTCCTGACTTGCCCTTGTCTGCACACCTGGACACAGGATATGCAAATACACAGGTCAGGTGAGGTCAGGGGGTGATTACCGTTGATCGGTCTCTCGAACAGACAGCGGCCGTCGCTATACTGAATCAAATTGACTGAAAATATTCAATACAAAGTGTGTTCCATACATTGTGGTGGCCGAACTTGTTTGCGGAAGAAACGTTGTACACCGCCTGTCTTTATCTAGCCCCCTGATTCTTAAATAATAGGCGGCCCTCGGGCCAATTAGTTTGGCCCTTGAGAAAAACAAAATAATACAAAAAAAAAATTTGTATTAAAAGTTTGATGAATACATTTTCCATAAATTAAAGACAAAAATGCAACCCCTGGGTAAAGTGCACAGGGATGATTTGAAAATTAGCAAAATCTTAGGCCATATTAGTAGAATAAATAGTACCAAAATCAATCACTGGGTGCTTTCTGTGGTCCTTCTGTGGACAACCAACAAACTCGTTTGATGTAGGGGTTACCCCACTCACATTTAAAATTAAATAAAAACTATGTTAAAATTGAGTGCAGAGGTCTGATGCCTGATTTCAGACCCATGGTAGAAGCCAGATTGATAAATCATACCATAGCTAGGTAAACACAACTATAACTTAGGCTATTTTTGCAATACGTCTCTTTGGTTTCATCGTCAATAACATTCGTACTTATAAAAATATGTTTCACTTTTTTTTTATATTGTCCAGCAAATAATGCATGTCATACAGGACTCTGTGCTGCCAAGTTCTTCCTCTGTGTTTTATTTTGAACACTGTTTTATCAATAACCTTCTTTTTAAGACATTAAGTACTGTAGAGTACACATCAGTTCTTTTGCATTTTTTCTCGCTTAATAATATACCTTGGTGGCTCTTCATTCTTTACAGGTCTGGAGAAGATCTCAAATTCCATGAAAGACTTACTCATTCAGTTAAACGCTGAAACAATGAAGCTCTGCAATATGAGTATCGGCCGTCCAATCACAGTCCATCTTCCAAAGGAAGATGCGACTTTCTCTGCCCTTGTCTGGCCCTGCGCACACTTCCCATCAACCAAGGCAGGAATCAGCGCAAACATGTGTGAAACATACAACTTAAATTCTGGAGAATATGTACAACTTGAAAACTTTGATGATGTCTGTTTACCAGCTGAATACTTAATGCTTGAACCCCAGTTAGTATTATTTTCTTAACATTAAGTACTGTACAGTACACAGTAATATGAAATCTAACAGTTATTTTTCTAGTCAATTTTATGTAAATTGTTTATATTTTTATATCTACCAATGTGTAATTTTGTATAAATCATAATTCAATTGTTACTTCTTGTGCTTTTTTGATATCTTATTATGTAAATAGAATTTTAATGTTTGATCTAATGAATATTATCTTATTTCTAGTTTTATAGGTCTCAACTTCATTTTAATGCTCTCAATTTTGTAATCTTTTTGTGCTTTTTTGTGTTTTTCGGTTTTGTATTTCCGAGTTTTAATGTATTCTCATGTAATTCAGCGTTAATGCTGCCATTTGAGATTGAATAAAATATTATTAAAATATTATTATTACAAATTTATGTTGCCTTCTTAATTATTGCATTATCCTTATTTCATATTTCTTATATTTTAACTGTACTTTATATTTGTTTGTTGGGGGGGGGGCCTTAATATCAGCTCTACATGATGGTGAGCTGCATGGGCTATCCTCATTAAATAAAGTTCAAGTAAATAAATAAAGTTAGTATGAAATAATTTGTAGTTCTTGCTATATAAATATCCAAAGTTGTGTATAAAATGTTCTAAATTCAATTTGCAATGTTTCATCTATACCTATCTTTTTGGTTCATTTTATGTCAGGCATTGACAAAGACTACTGGTGTAGTCAAAATATTTGTTGCTATAAATTTTAGTGTTTCTAATTAAGTTAATATGTTACATATATGAATTTCCATTACTGTTTAGCTGTATTATATTTTATGTCTTTTCTTTAATTATCTCAGCTAAAGCTCTTTGTATTTTATTGTATTATACTTTAGATCAAATATCACAAGCCTGCCCTCTGTCACTGATCTTCAGTGTTTTATGGAATTAAATCTCTCTGGACAAATGTTTGCAGTTGGAAATAAAATTTTAACCTGTTTCTATGGCAGGCCTTGCAAATTTGTTGTAAAAGAACTCAAGAGTGTTACTGGTGAGGTGTTTCGGACAGAGTTAAATTTGAAGGAACATTGTAATAGAACGAAAGATTATTATAATTATAGTCATACAATATCTGACACCTCACTCCCATTATCTGGTAGTCCCGTAATGGACCACACCACAGAGAAAAAGGACGGCTTTGATTTGAATGAAAGTGTTGAGAAACTAAGAGAAGAAGTACAAGATTTAAACATTTCTGCAAATGATGATTTAAAATCAACGTCAACTCCGAAGAAAATTATTTTCACTGAGAAACCTGATTCTTCGTGCTTATCTTTCCTCATTGTGAACGAAAATACAAAAATACATATACAAACTAGTTCAGACAATACAGATCAAGGTAATAGGCCAATTGATGCTGTGACCTATGACATGATTGGGGGTATATCCAGGCAGCTTGGAACTGTGCGAGAAGTGATCGAAGCACCATTGAAAAATCCACAAATCTTCAAAGATCTTGGTGAGTAAAATTGTAAATAAGGTGAGAAAAAAAAAAGGAAAAAATACTTATTTAATGTAAGTGTTTAATTACAACAGTATTTTACTATTTGGAAACTGGAGCTATTTATTTAAGATAATATTGATATTTCATTTTTGTTCAAGTCTTTAAATTTCAGCAAGCTATTAAATATTACACTTGGAAGATTTTTAGTTTTATGAACAATGGACCATTCCCTACACTTGGATATTATTGGTAAGATCCCACAAACAACAAAGAAACATGACTGAGCATTTTTGTGGGATATACCCCACTCCATACTAGCTCACTCGGGCGACAGTACAGCCAGGGAGATGTAAACAATTATTTTTTACATCTCCCTGGTACAGCTAAACCTTCATATTCTCCAAACTTCAGAGCTACAGAACAGTCCACTTCCGCGGTGACTTCAGAAATTTGACAACGGGGGTCTGACGTTTCTGACCTGGAGAGAAAGTACAAAGGGGCCCCTCGATTCAGGTCCTGGAATAAAAAAATATTAGGGATTGACAATTAAGAAATAACGTTATTTATATAGGCAAATTATTTTTTTATATTTTTGATTTGATGGCCTCGTTGTGGTGTCGGACAGTGGAGGGTTCATGCTGTCTGACAGACGGGAAATTCCCCCTGCCCTCCGTTGGTGCCATCGTTGCTCCGCTTCCCAAGAGAAGTTGCTGTGTCGTATGAATTCATGTGTTTTAGATTAAGATTTTTATTCATATTTGTAATTAAGTCTATTTTAATCATATGCAACTTGTAGACTTTTATACTATAATTTTGTCTCATAAAAGAGGACTATATGTTATCCAGTATAAATATGTTCAATAAATAAATAAATACTCCCCTTCTGTAGCTACAGCAGTATAGCTACACTCGAGCTGCAGCTACTATTCTTTTAATCTAAAGACAAACAGTATCTTTATTTCCATAACAGTAATCATCCAGTTAAAAAATGTTTACATCATCATTTTTATATCACAGGTATACAGCCCCCGAAGGGCGTACTGCTGTATGGACCACCAGGCGTTGGGAAGACAATGGTTGCTAAGGCAGTGGCTCATGAGGTTGGTGCTCATGTGGTGGTTATAAATGGACCAGAAGTGATCAGCAAGTAAGGTGCTTTTTTAATGTATTTTTCTAGTTAAGTTGTTTTCTTTTAAGTTATTTGTTATGATTGACGCACCTCCTGAGTGCCGCTGATGTAAATGGTGTCTGTATAGAGTCAATAAGTTATTTGATTTGAAGTATGTTTAAATTTTTAATAAAAAAAGCATTTTTAGCCTCTATATGAAGCTTGAATAATGCACATGTACTTGGCTGTGAGAAAAATTTGTCAGGAATGAATGTAAGATTGGAGGGCAAAAATCTTAACCACGGAGCCACAGCTAGGTCCAGATTTGACAATATTGCTGTTCATTATGTTAATTATAGCTTTGTTTATCTCAATATTGCGAAAATATTACCAACAATGCCTTCTGAATTTTTTCAGCTAAGCCACATTTAGATTGGGCTACTTTACCGCAATATAGCGGGAATGTTCCCAACTATATGAAAAAGTCAGAACTAACCACAGCTGCAATATTGTTATAACACGGCGTTCCAAAACAGGCTTAGTAATACTACTGCAATAATACTGTGCATTGTGGCGTGTGTCTGAAACAAAAGCAGGTCACATTTCCACAATGTTACTTACTTACACCCAACAGCAAGTACACTTGCCAATTACAGGATGAGAATGATGCTTTATAAACCAAGTCTCTTTATGAGGCTTAGGGAGTGGAGTTGATTGTAGTCGTGAGAAAAGTGCTGTTGTGTGAGGAATTGAACCCAGGACCCTGGGATCAGAAGGCAAGCATCTTAACCACTAAGCTATTGAACTCCTCTCCAATTTTGTCATAATTATGATTATTATAATCTCTGCTTGCTTTGATGTTATTATTAACACATTTTTTCAGAATATATTCTATCATAATTTATCTAAATATATTGATTTTAGATTTCATATTTTTCTAGATTTTATGGAGAAACTGAAGCAAAACTGAGAGAAATATTCAAAGAAGCTGCTGCCAAGGCACCAAGTCTGGTGTTCATTGATGAACTGGATTCTCTCTGTCCTAAAAGAGAGAATGTCACGAGTCAGGCGGAGAAGAGAATCGTTGCCACTTTACTGACACTATTAGATGGCATGGAATCTTCGGTATGTAGCTTAAACATTTGATAAATGGCAAATCAGCTGTTTGTAGGAAAAATTCCAAATTGAGTTTTTGGTGTTTTTTAGATTCTGCGTGAATTCTTTTTTAAAACAGTGTTTATTTGATCGAAATTGGTTGATTATCAGTGAAGTAATGAATATTTAATTAATTGGATATCAGCCATGTAGGTTTTGAGAAAACAGTTTCCAAAGATTCCAAAATCAATAGTTTATTATTAGGATTTGTATTTTAGAAAATAATTTTAATATACTTTTTAGTTAGATTTATGAAAGATAATGTTCTAATGTTGTATAAATTCCAGAAAACCTGAAAATGTTCAAAATTCTGATTTTGATTCCCAAACGTTTTGGGTGCTTGTGGGAAATTAGAAATTGCAAAAAATGACGGGTTTTGACAAAGCTGGTTACACAAATTCAACTAATGTAACATCATCACCATCCTCTGTCTAATTTGTTTGCTTGATTAAGATAAATACAATTATAAGCAGACCCTGGTTACCATACAAGCTTCATAATTTGAATTCTAAATCTATGTAGATACTCATCAACACCTGTTCAGCATCTGGTTGAGGGCAGGGGCTTGAGATGAACCATTACACCGGGGTAACCCCCTACATGTCTCGAAAGATGTACTGGGTTCTTTATAGTGCACTTGAGCCATTGTGTACACTGGGCCTATGGTTTATAGTCCTTATCCAAGAAGACTTGCTCCACAAGGCGAGCGTGCCGTTCGAACCAGCACCGACATTATGGCTGTAGGTTATGTGCCCCTGCCTTAACCGCTCTGCAATTTGAATTGGCTATAATATACTTCTAATAATGGATAGTAATAATAATAATAATAATAATAATAATAAACAATTAAAATTTAAATCCTAACTCAGTTAACAATTCCTTGAAATAAAAAATTCTAAACCAAAACCAAAAAATGGAAAACAAATTTTGATAGTATATACAAGATTAGCTGATGAAAGTCATAAAAAAAACACCTGTTATCACCTGTTTAGCGTTGTTTTTTTTTATCTCTGTAGATAATTTTGGTTCACTGTTTCCACAGGCCAGACTACAATAATTGAAATAGGATGGATTTTACAGAACTTCTCGGCAGTTTTTGTTAGTATTGTTCGTCCAGTAAAACATGTTGCAATTAAATTACTTCTTTTCATAAACAGGAAAATAGAGTTGAGCATAGGTATACACTTTTTGGTTGTCTTATGCATAGTGGTAAAATACTTAGACTGATACTCTTTTTTTTCTCTTTTTTCTTTTTGTTTACTTTTAGAATGAAAATGGACATGTAATGGTTTTGGGTGCCACCAATCGACCAGATGCGATAGATGCTGCGCTTCGAAGACCAGGGAGGTTTGATCGCGAAATTGAGATAGGAGTTCCAAATGCACAAGATAGAGCTGATGTGAGTGTCATATAATGATTTATGTAACTTCCCTCACTAGTTTGTTCAATTTGTTTTCAGTTCTTTTTGAAACTCTCTCTTGTCAAATCTTGAGAAAGTATCAACTACTAAACTAAGTCATTGTATTAATAATAATAATAATAATAATAATAATAATAATGCCAAAGATTTATAAAATACCAATTCAAAATCAATGATCAAAAGCACTGACTGTTATTACGCCTGGTCACTGGATAACATACAAAGGCAAACCAACAAAAGGAAAACCTTCTCTGCTCCCTGAGGAGTATACCTAGTCGTGTGTGTGTACTCAGCGCACGAAACTAGTATGGTCAATGCCACAATATCCTACCAGGTACCCATTTATACTCCTAGGTAGAGAGAGACAATTGTAGATAAAGTGCCTTGCCCAAGGACACAAGCGACTTGCATAGTGAGAGTTTTAAACCCCCTGACCTCAAGGTTGGGAGGCCAACAACCAATGCAGCAACCGCTCTTACAGTACATATGTTATCAACTGGATTGGAACAGTTTAGATTTTTTCGATTTACAAACTTTTTGGCTGCTAAAGCATAACCAGACAATTTTAAGGGTCTATGCAAAGAATACAAAAATAGTATTATGTGTCAAAGAATTGACATGAAAAGTTTTTATTGTCAGTAGAAAGCTTAGAACTTACTAAAGTGTATACAATAAAATGAATATTTCTTAATTACAGAATCTACTTACTCATTAACTAAAGTTAGTCTGCTTGTGGTTCAAGATGAATGTACAGTTGAACTTGCCTAAGTCGAATCCATAATGCCATTGCAAAATTATTCGACGTAGATAAAATTTGACTTACAGATTGTCAATTAATGGAAAACACAATAATTTGGCATATAAAAGAGGTTCGACTTAGAAATTATTCGAGTTAGGCAAAGTCGACTTAGGCAAGTTTCACTGTAGTCAAAATAACTATCAGTCAATCAATCAACATGGATTTTTATAGTGTCAATATCAATGGCAGATTGCAATGTTCAGTGTTGCTATGACAATGGTAATACTCAAAGTGCACATTAACTAGACTAAAGAATATACTAACTAGAATAAAGTGGTTTTTTTTTTTCAGATTCTTACAAAGTGTTTACAGAAAATCAACCATTCCTTATCAAGCGAAGATATTACAAGTATTGCAGATTCAGCACATGGGTATGTTGGTGCGGATTTAAAATCTGTATGTAAAGAAGGTACAGTACTACGATACGATACTCCTTTGTTGCCATTTTAACAACATGATAAAAAATGCAATTAGTGTTGATTGATCCGATAGGAAAAAAACAGTGCAATTCCGAAATATAAAAAGTATGCATAAATAGATAATAAAGAAAAACATTCCTTGAGAGATTCATATGGGTGGGTGGGGGATCTCAGGATCAAGAAGAGACTACCATGACCCACCAGCTGAAAAGAAAAGGGGACAGCGCTGCCCTGAATCTGAAAAACAACCAGAAACTAAACATCAAAAGGTGAAACCAATCTGGGAGTCACAGACACAGAAAATATCTGACTGTCTGCTGGTGGATCACAATGAGTCCCCAATCACCCGAGAAGGTCCCCATTCACCAATACAAGACATACATACTAACAAGCAATCTGTATTCAAGCATTAGTTTGGTGGTTAAGATGCTTGCTCTCAAGTAAAACTGGACCCTCTGGAAAAACATCGTGTATCTTTTTCACATGTTCCCAATTCTTATAGTAACTGATTGTCAAAAGATTGGTGCTTGAGACAGCTTTACATACATATTTAAAATCAATATTTAAAATAAATGCTTTTTTTTTTTACCTTTTCAGCTGGCATGTATGCTTTCAAAAGACATTCCAAATCCCATAATGCATCTGGAGGACTGTTAGCCATTTCGGTTACCATGGCGGATTTTACTCTTGCTCTCCAAGATGTCAAGCCAAGTGCAATGAGGGAGGTTGAAATTGATGTACCAAAGGTTGGCTTAAGTTTTATTTCCTTTTTGTTTTGATGGTGTTAATATGGAGCCTTACAATGGTTCAGGTCAGGTTCACACCAGAGCCCTAGTATCCGGACCGGGAGCTAACCCATAGTGCTAACCGTTAGCACCCGCGTGAGAATGCCCGATTGGTTAGCGCTCACCATTACCAGGATCTGGATGTGCTATTAGTTAGCGAGCGATATACCTGTTAGCAAGTTTTGTACGTTTCCATCATCAACAAATCACACATAAACACTTCTAATTTCCAGATTTATATTGGAAAATGATCCAATCATCATCTTCATGATTATCTGGAAAGAGGATTTTCTTGTATGAACACACAGGTGAGCGCGTATATTTTTAATCGGGATCCTGATAACCATTAGCTGCAGTGTATGAACATAGCCGTATTGTTCATGTTTTTACCCTCATGGAAGGGTGCCAACGGTGCGATCGCACCTACCAAAATTTCATAAAGAATAATAATTATTTTAGTGTTTTGTTGATATGAATTACAGGTAAGATTTTTAAGGTATGAGGGTTCAATTTCTGGGCACAACCCCAGTCATCCGCCCCAGTAAATGCCAGTGAAGAGAGCATTTTAAGTTGTTAAAAAGTAAATTTATGTCATCTTAGATGTTTTACCCACTGCTTCAAAAATAATCATTGAACGTACATTGCATATTGCATATATTAAGATGTACATATTAAAATATGACTTTTTCAATTTATGTTTTCTACAGTGTTTCATACTAACACAAAATTACTGTGCAATACATGAACAATTTACGCCCTTATGACATTATGCAAGGTAGACAAACTAAAAATATACAGACCACTGCAGTCATAGTTCGATTCTCACTGACATTGAGTTGTTTTTCATGTATTTTTTTTTTTTATTTCATAATTTTCTTTAGTATGATTTTATTTTTGATATTCATTTATTTTTTACTCCATGCTTTTAGAAAGATTTTTAAATTTTTGTTGCAATTTCAACATCATTCATTCATTATGGGAATTAGGAAAGGCCCTATGTTCTGTTTTATAAACAAACATAGTAATTCTAGTTGTTATTAATATTTTTGTTATCAGTCTTAATCTTATGTGCTTCCTTCTGGCACAGAAGAAGGATGATTTAGGGTGTGTAGAATTTTATATTGTATATTCCTAATTTCTTCAGGTCTATTGGTCTGACATTGGCGGTCAAGAAATTGTAAAGCAGAAATTAAAACAAGCTGTTGAATGGCCACTCAAGCATCCAGATGCCTTCACCAGAATGGGTATAGCGCCACCAAGAGGCATTCTCATGTATGGCCCACCAGGCTGTTCTAAGACTTTAATTGCCAAAGCACTTGCAACAGAAAGTGGGCTGAATTTTATTTCAGTTAAGGTGAATTTATGTCCATCGATAATAGTTTAAAGGAAAAAGTTTTCTTCGGAGAAACATGTGCCCACCACCTGTCATTAGACGGCACTTAAAGCCAGGCTCCGGAGGAGAAACATTTCTTAAATATTCAAAAATCTATATCTCATTAACTGCTCATCGAGTTTTTCTTCAAATATGGTTTTTGTGTCTTAGAAAAATCAGTTTTACAACGTATCAACATTTTTTTTTTTCCATAGCCTTGGCTTTAAGATTGGCAGGCAAAAAACATTAATTTGCCAATTTTACTAAAGTTTGTAATTGCAGTTTGTATTAAAAGCACAATTGTTACCATTATCCTAAACTGTACATCCCTCTCACCTGAACCCACCATTACCCTGGTAATTACCATTATGTTGCCATAAATAGTACAGGTAAAAATCAATGTTTTGACCATTATTTTCATTTTTTACTTTTTTAAAAGCAACTTTTGGGTGTACTTTGATCTTACATTTTGCATTTTCTGCAAAAATACTAGAGCATTTCTTTTAAACTATGTTTTTGCACAGACTCATTTACAACATTGTTTACTTAAATAACGGCTTTAAAAAGATGAGTAAATTGTAAATCAATGCGCAGTGTTGCCAGAAACATTTATATTTTTCATAAATTTATTTTCTTTTTTTTTTTTAACTCAATCGAACACCAATCTACAGCTTCACTACCTTATTCAATTTTAAATGTGAATACACAGCTGTCTCTTTGTCATTGACATACTTATCTTTGAACTTCCAGGGTCATAAGTTCAATTTAACCCAACGACATCTCAAATCCCAGAGCCTCGTAACGTGGTTATAGACCATTTTCGTGAAATTTGAAATTAAAGTTTCCGATAACCTGGCAACTACCACTGGGGGACTTCCTATGCACTTTGCACTACGTAGTTACCAGTGTGTAAGTGGCTCTGTATTTGACACTAGCTAGCTGCTCAGGCTCTAGGCTAGGCTGCTGGAAGCCCCCCAGTGAGTTATGAGACATTGGTGGCGCTGATAAATGGTCTATAGACCATCGAGGCCCCAAATCATCAGCTTGATTGAAAACTTTCAGTAAATATGGTAAAAAAAAAACATTTAGCAGCGATGTTCAGTAGTTTTAAAGTTTGAATTTATACTCATTCTCTTTCGTAGGGCCCAGAGCTGTTCAGTAAATGGGTGGGAGAGTCGGAGCGGGCAGTGAGGGAAGTGTTCCGCAAGGCTAGGCTGGCATCCCCCTCAATTATATTCTTCGATGAAATTGATGCACTGGCAGTTGAGAGAAACAGGTTGGTATGAATATTCTAATTTTTACATTGAATACCCTTGTATCAAAGATTGTATTGTTGAAAAAAGCATGAAATTTATCCACTTATTGGCTTAAAACGTTGGTAATAATTCTGAAAAAGGTATTCGAACGTGTACAGGTCCGGAGTGCAAAATGTTTATTATAATTTATATTAACTAATAAATAACAATTATTTAAATGTGGACATGTATTCACTACAATAATAAGAGTAACAATTTTCAATCTTATAATCAATTTTACACAGAGAGTGTTACGTATTGACCTAGGCTGCTATGGTTAATAACAGGTACGCTTTCACCATTAAAGGCTTCTTCTGAATGAAGTGACATGTACGAAGCACAAGCTCCTGTAGTCCAAACACAGTACTGTTTCTATTTTTAGTATGCGAGAAATTTACTCTTGATGCTGTTTACCTTCCCAGCATATGCTGGCACCCATTTATATTTGGTGGAGACAGACAAAGGCAGACCAATTTTCTTGGCATATTTTAGCTAATTTGCATATGTATGTTCCCAAGGTGTGACCGAGGTGTGATTTCTGGAATTTCATCCCCTCTTTATATGTATTTGATTAAAAAAATAAAAAACCTTTGTTTTCAATTTGTTTGACTTCAAGTGCTAGATTACCTAGCCTAATAATAGAGATGAGAAACTGTAGACCATTCAAATAAAATGTTGGTAATAATTCAGAAAAAGGTATTCGAATGTGTACAGGTCCGGAGTGCAAAATGTTTATTATAATTTATATTAACTAATAAATACATGTATTCACTACAATAATAAGAGATGTGTAGGTAATTTTATACTTAATTTGTATTAAAAAAAACCAGCAAAAGTATACAGGCAGGGTGTGCAACTGGACAGATATGTTAAAATGTGCTGTTTTGTGTCTACCTGTAACTTTCTGTCAACTCATATTTAATTTACTATATGTCAAATATCTTTTTTTTTTAGTATGCTTGTAATAGAATAATATTTGTTCGTCAAAGCATGCATTTGTTACTGGCAGGCAGAACATCAAAATATATAAAGCACTATATACAAAAGTTCTATTATATAGACCAACAATGGCAAATATTGAAATAATGAAAGAGTATATTTATATACAAATAAGTACATCAAAAAAGGCAATAACATAGGATTATGTAAAGTATCAGCTGCAAATATATATCAAAACAATAATTATGCACAAATAGATAACGTTGGTGAAATAGAAGAATTCGAAATAGAAGGAACACAGATGGATTTATAGATGGCGGCTCCAGACCACTTCAGCCCAACCATGGTTTGGCCTTAGCTACAAAATTCAGTGGCAGATCCAGGAATTAGAAATAAAGGGGGCCCAGGGAAATCATGATACTAATATAATTTTATTTTTGTCTATCATAATACATAAAAGTATGTATTTTGAAACTCGTCGGAGAACATTAAACTTTACAAAACATATCAAACTGCATACTAAACCTATAATTCAAATGAAATGGGCTATATAATAGAAAAATACTTTTAGTATACTGTAGGCCTACAGTGGAAAATATTGAAATAATGAAGAAGTATTTATGATTAAATAAGTTTTGTTTACAAAAGTTATATTAAAGTATTATTATTATATATTTTACACTTTTATGAGTGATCCTTGTGTTCAAATCGAATAACAAGCTGATGGTGTATGTCTTAGCTTAACTTTTTGCCTGCCACACCCTTTTCATACTTGTTGCCCATTTGCCAATACATGTCTACGTATCCAAACATGTTTTTCAAATTCTATTTACTTACAAACCATCATAATTTCATGCCTTATAGTACCACTGAACATTGCATTATTATGATTATTATTCATTGTATTTTCATTATGGTAATTATCATTATTTATTTACTTATTTATTTTATATACTTTATAATTTATATTAACTAGTAAATACATTAATTAAAACAGGGACATAGTTATTACTTCATAATAAGATTAACAATTTTCAATCTGATAATCAATTTTATATAGCTGGAGTTATGTATTGACCTACTCTAGGCTACTGTGGCTAATGGCAAGTAAGCTTTCACCATTAAAGGATTTTTGTATGAATGGAATTACCTGTACGAACCATGAGCTCCTGTCGACAAAACCCAGTACCGTTTCGATTTTAATAGTGCAGCAAATTTATTCGTAATGAGAACTTGAGTCGACAATGAGAATTGCCAGCACCAGATTTAAGTTTTCTTGTGTGGCAATTTTCAGGCTGATTTAATATATATTTTAGAGTATTATATATTCTTTAGGACAGCAAACTACTTTATGTTATTGCATTTATATCTTTTATTTCCTGTTTTTAACCCTTTCGGAAGTGTAAAGGATGCCACCACATGTATGTACGTATCTTTGTAAAACCACGCCCACCTGCACAGTGGTAAAATCCTACTTAACAAAGACGACCAGTCGAATAGAAAACTGGTAAATACTCGACAAAACAAAATGGCTGCATAGTTACCGCGATACACGCTGCGTAGTCAAGGCTGCTTCGGATTGTGGCAGTATAGGTTTTTCGTTAAAAAAAATGTTTTCATCCAATTTTTGAATTATGTTAGCATTCAATTATTTTTTAAATTCAATGGGGGTAAATATTATAATTTTTATTTTCTGAAATTTAATCTAAATTATGCAAATGTTGTTGCTAAATTGACTAATCAGCCATATTTTTTTTTGGTCACGTGGATAACTTAATGCTGATTAATGCATTCTGGTTATGTTAATTTTCGTTGTCAACGAAGTCTATTTTACCAACCAGTCGAATGAAAATAATACTACGAAATGAACCAGTCGAATAGCCCATTACCTATAATGAAACACAGTGAATATGTATGATAATAATATTTTTAGATTATTGCATACATGTATATTCCCTGAACTTTATTGTTGTTAGGCCTCGGATGCTGGTGAATTAAAGTGCTCTGTATTATTTATGTTTGTTGTGGCACCCTCAGCTGTTAGTTGAGTACACTCAGCGATTCCAGTTAAATTGTTAATGTGTCATGTTTTTGTAGTGACATTACTTCCACTTTTTAAACACTAAGAAAGTCAGGAAATTTCGGGTTGGACTAGTGTTGTATTTGGCATAGCTATAATGTTATTAGAAAAAATAGATGTCATACCATATATTTTTTTTGTAATATTTGAACACTGTCATTGCAAAGTGATAGAATTTGATTTTACTGGTGCTACGGCAACCATATGTTACTAGTTTGCAGATGCATTGATAGAATCAGCATATTAAGAACACGATCTTTCAATTTCAGCTCGTCCGGTAGTAATAGCGTAGCTGACAGAGTACTCGCCCAACTGCTGACGGAAATTGATGGCATTGAGAAGCTGGCGGATGTCACGATAGTCGCTGCCACAAATAGACCAGATATGATTGACAAGGTAATGCATTCTGATTGACACAACCAATTGTGAAGCCTTCCCTCCGACCTACTGCTTTCACTTCCTTTTCTAACCAGTATTTGCTTAATTGTACCTTGAATAACCGTATTTTTAGCCTTTTATTTTCTAACGTAGATGGCTTGAGCCAGGAGCAGTGCCAGTGGATAGGGTGGGGCTAGAGCAGCTTAATACCCCATCAGGCAGGCCAATCCCTTGTCATGCACACTTGTCGGACAATCAATTTTATGGACAAAGAGCTCAATCACCAAGCGCATAGGGGCTTTTTTTCACATGATGTGCTATACAAATTCAACTATCATCATTTGCTTGTTTACATTGAGAGTAGCGGTATTGATGTACTTTCACGAAATCGCGATTATCTCTATCAAATTCTTTCTAAATGTATGATGTTTTCTCACAGCCAAAATTTACTTCTTTCCCAATGAATAGTGCTATTGTATGGCTAGATCCAGGGGTAAAAAGGGGAATAGCCACCCCACTTTTTCTAAAAATATCCCTAAGTCTAGACTAGGCAAGCCCTTTGAGCAAGTATTAAGCAAAATTGCGTTCCTAAGTCCAGGTGTCTTAATTAAGAGTGCACCCTCATACTTGCCCCAGCCATGTATTTGCTTTTCTCACATATAGGCCCCATTACTCAAATCATGCTGCTGCCTATGTCTTCATTATCGTCATCGTATTAACACAGGAAATATTTTTGGAATTTGAAGAAATTTAGTGTCAATAACAGACTAGGACTATCACAATGCATTTCTGGGCCTCTAAGAAAAAAATTTCCTCCAGCTGTTTACACTACGTAGCCACCCCTGATTTTTTGTTCCTACATTTCAAAAGTGATTACTTTTTATGCTTCTCTTTACTGAATATCGACGCTTCTATTTGTTGTGTAGAATGGCGGAGAACGCTGTCTTGTAATGATAAGACTTCTGGTATAATGTAAAATGCTTCATTATGCTAATAGTAAGTTTTTGGAAATGTGTGCTGACTAATGAAGCATGTGGGCAGATGTTTGTTCTTAGGGAAATTAGGCCAGTTTTAGATGCTAGCATCATTAGGGAATTCCTAGGAATCATAAGCTCAAGCAATGAGTCCTCATTATTATGGCTCAAATATGCTAGCGATTGATGCTCTGGCAGATAGCTTCATTAATTTTTACTTCTGGTTAATAATGCCAAATATAAAAAATAAACTTGTCAAAACAACCTTTTCAAATGACTTTATTCCTATGCCTGGCTGCATTGTTTTTTTACCATACAGTTAAGGCAAAGAATACAGAGGGCGCTATTATTATCATTACCTCCGCCAACGAAGTTGGCAGGAGGTTATGTTTTTGCCTGTTTATTTATTTAGTTATCTATTTGTCTGTCGGCATATTTGTTGTGAACAGCCTACAGTCCATAGTTTTTATCAGAAATTTATCAAACTTGGCCACAATGTTCCTTTACCAAAGGAACCTTTACTTAGGAACGCAATTAAGATCTGCCACTCAAAATAAACTCATAGTTCCTAAATGTAACACAATTAATCATGGTAACCTATCATTCACGTTTTCATCTACATATTTATGGAATGACCTTCCTGAGGACATAAAAAATTCAAGTTCAGTTGAAATTTTCAAGAAGTCCCTTAAAAAACATATTTTTGAAACATTTATTTATTTGTCTACAGCCCATAGTTTTGATCAAACTTGGTCACAATGTTCCATGACCAAAGATCTCAAAGTTTTTGAATGTTGAAGGGTAAGTGTTAAAGGTCAAGGTCGCAATCAACAAAAAACGATTTTTTTTTTTTTTAAACAGTTTTTATCAGACATTTGTCAAACTTGGCCACAGTGTTCCTTCACCGAAGATCTGGAAGTAACTGAATTTTAAAGGCCAGGGTCAAAGGTCAAGGACACTATGATCGGGGGGGGGGGGAAACTTGTGTAACTGTTTGCTGTATAGACGTGTTTGTGTGCTTGTACATGCTTGCCGGTAAAGTGTAAACAAACATTCATGACCATTAGTTTCAAAGTGATATATGTGAAAACTGTTTGGTGTAGAGGTTAGATGAGTGTTTTCCACACTACCACATCCCAATGAGTCTAATTTTTTTAATGGGGACAATATGTGGGGTAAATTTATACTCAGGAGAATTATGATGTGGGCGGAGGTATTCATTTTCCTAGTGCCCTCTAGTATTAACTCTATTTTGTGAGGGTGGTGTATTCAGCCTTAGTAGATGATCAGTTGTAACCATTAATGAATACAAGACAATAATAAGGAAGATGAAAGAAGTGAGACCTATGAAGTTGTTATTAATTTACTAAAATATGAAATTTTTCTGAAATTATAAATGAATTAAGAACAATTTATAGTAAAAGTAGCATATTACATATATCACTACAGTATGCAAGTAAAAGTATTAATTAAATAGTAATACAGTATAATAAAATAATTGAAATAAAAAATATTTCTAAAAATATTAAATGAATAAAGTATATTATTTAAATAGTAATATATCAATAAAATAATTCTTGGGAGAATTTCATCTAGTGTTTTGTTGAATATACTGTACTGTGAAAGTATATATGCTATGAAAGTATATACTGTGAAAGTAGTCATTTGATAATGGTAGCTGTTAGCGACCAAAACTGTCATCTAAGTTTCAAAAAACCTTTAGTCAATACATTAAAGAACCTTTCACAGTATAATAAAATAATTAAAATAAGAAATATTTCTAAAATATTGAATGAAGTATAAGTGTAGAATATATACTTTTGTAAGTATAAGTGCAATAATTAAAAAGATATAAGTGTGCATGTGTGTGTTGGCTATATCAGTGACCGAGCCAGGTATTCACTGATGAGAGGTCCTATTAAGGGACCACGCCTATCTCAGCCCACCATGGGCCACACCTAGCTCAGCTCACCATGGGCCATGCCTACTTCAGCCCACCATGGTTGGACTGATATAAGCAGACTGTAAAAATCAGTGTTTTTCCACTAAATGATTGACTCCTTCCCAAGCTGTGGAAGGGCCTTGTTTCCATACTCATGGATGTAGTTATGGTGGGTGAAGGTAGGTGGGGCCACCCAGCCTTGAAGTTTTCCACCCAGTCTAAAGCTATTTTCATGGCCCTCCACCCACCCTTGTTAACCCACTTTTCCATCCTTAAAAAAATCCACTCTTATTATTTAGAGTTCACCAAAGTTATCACCCAATCATTCTTAAGATGTATATCACCCACCATTACAGTAGTTTTCTACAGCTACATCCCTGCATACTGGATCATTTTGGTGAAGTGGAAGAAATTATATTAAACCTCATTTTATTCAAACATGTTTTTTTTTTAAGGATTTGAACCCATGACCCTGGGATTGGAAGGCATGCATCCTTATTACCATAACTCCATTATGGTGCTAGTTGAGGCTACAAATTAGCTTAGTTCAAGTAGCTAATTGCATTAAAACTGTAGTAAGCTTATTCATCATTTGTTTGGCACTTCTCTGATCACAGTCATTTATCATCATTAGGTATTGCTTCCTCTAGTCTCTGACACTATCTGATGAACCAAAACATGACCAACTGGGCCTCCAGAAAATGGAGACTGATAAATGAGTTTGTAATGGCATTTAAATGCCATGTTGTTTGTGCAAGTTTTACTTAGTTGAGACTGTATGTGAAAGGTTATCAGGACCAAGGTGTTGCATTTCCATCCTAAGATTTTCTTTCATGTTTCATTTGTAATTTATTTTATTGATTCTATTATTACCACTGTTGCCAGGGTGATATTAAATGCCCCACCCCCCTTTTTGATGCCCCCTTGAGCACTACTGCAATGGATTTGTGTGCTTTATAAATCTTATTATTATTATTATTATTATTATTATTATTATTATTATTATTATTATTATTAAAGAAGTGCAATAAAAGGTGAGATGTCATGCCAAAATGAGTCTTGTTTAATGCAATGATGCCAGGTCAATAAATATGAAGTGATATTTTGACAAAATTTGGGTTTCAGTGGTTCTGATATGTTTAACATGTAGCACTATATTGTACAACAGCAAATGTTTTGACTTCAGTCACAAAAGTTAAAGGTGTTTTGAAGCACATTTTATCAGTTTATATTTTTTCTAAAGTACGTTTTCAGACATGATTTTGAGAATGATCTTACTCCAGTTGTACTCAACCTAGGAACCTGATTAAAAAAAATATAAATCCAGTTGTACTCAATCTAGAAACCTGATTCCAAATAAAATATAAAACTATGTGATATCACACAATTATTACCAGTTTATTCTCCTAGATTGACCTAATCTTTCTGCCTATTGATATATCAGGAACAGCAGAAAGTAATGTTTCCTTATGAAAGTTTAGTATTGTCATATTTGAGGTGTTAGGTGGAAACCTCAGGCTTAATGGGCTTACTGTCGGAAATCCTGGGCTAATTATAGTTTTTTCCTGCGAGTTTTTGCATAATTCAAGCAAGATATAAAGGAACTTATGTCGCAATTGTTAACATCTGTTGATAAGAATCTAGATTGTGCGTTGAAGGACAATATTAGAGAAAAACTAACAATGTACAACTTTCATTTTCTAGAGGAAAACTGAAACATTAGTGGTGCTTTCTCCTGATATTACTGTTATCTCCTAATGGGATAAACCTTATCTTAAAATAGGATGTGGTGTTCCAATTCCAGTGTTAAACACCTTGTAAACTTGATACCCCAATGTTTTGAGGTTTCAAGATTACCTCCTACCCCAAAGTGATTGACAACATTAGATTATTGGCTTAGTATTAGAGTTGGCAGTCTTATGTGATCACATGTAGTTTTGCAAGTTTTCCCCACCGGAGTTTAGTTACTGGACCGGTATCTGTTTGGTTCCTAGTCTGCCCTAGGGTATATTATTATTATTAATGTTAGCCGCCTTTCATGGAAAGACAAATGGCCATCAGAAAGACAAAGCTATCCTGATGATTGCGTCACCAGCTATTAAATTAGGTTTTTAAGTGTAGGTGGAATTCATCGACTGAGTCGGGAATGTCTAATGCATCGGGTCTGCTACTGCTAGACTGCAGATAAAGCAGCCCAATTCTGAGTCAGAAGACATAACCCCTTACTTAAAAAACATCATGCAAGAAAAAAAAAAATTAAAATTAAATCTAAACTACTAAATTACCCCATCTTATGCTACTACCATTTCTATAATTGCCACTATACATCTATTGATGCAGGTGAAACTATCAGTATAAGTATAACTGTCGCTAACATCTTTACTGTGTTCCAAGTTATGATTTAGGTGTTCTATAATAAATTTGTCTTGATAAATTGTGACTTGGAGACCTGACTGTATTTTACAACTGTACAGCAAAGATATTATAATTACAAGATAGTGTTCTCTGCGATTTCTGCTTAAAGATTCTGTAACAACGCAATGTAGGGCGCCCTCCCTCAATTACAGTTACTTTTGAACTTTGACATCTGTGATCTACTTGCAAATTCTTAAACAACCACCATAGTCACAACTAGGATGCCCTCTCTCAATTATAATTACTTTTTATGCTTCTTTTTACTGAACATCGATGCTTCTATTTGTTAAGTGTAGAATCGTAAATTCACAGTGACTTCTACTTTCCTCGTCAGGCATTGATGCGTCCAGGTCGTCTTGATCGCATCCTCTATGTACCATTACCTGACCAAGCAACTAGAGCTGAGATACTTAAAATCAACTTCAAAAGAATGCCAATTGATAGAGACGTTGATGTCAGTTCTGTCGTCGCTCAAACTAATGGTTACTCTGGAGCAGAGGTGAGTTTTTCAGTTACTGAATTTTGTTATAGGCCTATTGTATGCCTACTTGAAATTAGGGAGACAAAGTTAGGATGGGGAGAAAATGCCCCTACCTTGCAGGAACGCATCTGCCTTGCCACGGCACACTTTTTAAAAATTATTTTAATTATTATCCAGTTTTGGATAAAACTGATCATTCAGGGCCTCATTAAAACAATACATACAATTAAAAACATATAAACTACACATCAGTTAAAATATTTTACATTAACAGTATCAAACAATAAAATTAATTTATTAAGACTATCAAAGTTGAAATATATGTGGAAACAAACTTTTATTTAGATATAAATCCTGTGAGTTTCTATTTCAAATGAATTTGTATTTTCAGTATTATGAATATTTAAAGGAACCTAACCTATCCGATTGCTTCACCTCGCAGGTAGTGTCCGTCTGCCGAGAGGCAGCGCTGTATGCCATGCAAGAGGACATTGACTCTGAGGTCATTCGCTCTGCACACTTTGCTCTAGCCCTGGACTCAGTCAGGCCTAGAATTACTAAAGACATGGTCCAGTTCTATGAAGCCTATGAACAGAATTGTGGTCTGCACTCTGTTTGACCTCAATGCAGGTAGAATAAACTCTTCTAAGAAGCAGCCTAAGCTTCAATAAGAGTATTGGTGGTATTGCCCATTGGCTGGGGGCCAGCTGGGCATAGGGTCCAAGCTCACCAATTCTTGGAGATTTTTATTCCTATTTTGAATGGTCATATAGAACTGTGTACTGCAGACTTCTCAAGTACTATGGAACTTCCGTAGCATGCAATTTTGAGCAACAAGTTATATCTTGCACTCAAGGCAAATTATTAGGTGGTACAGAAATTTTCCATTTACTACAGAAAATCTGAAGACATAGTTACGGAAATGCATTTTATGAACTTGAGAAATCCGGTACTGTACAGTGCAAGTACAAATCATTTGCATCAGCGATGGCCTGATTTTAACTTTCTTTCAGATCAGTCTGTGCGTAATGGTGTGATATCCTGGTGTGAGAACTGTGATGCAGGAACAAAGCCTTTAGCTGTGTTATACACAAGACTTGCCAAGTGTCATGCATCGGTTGCATTTCTGATTCCCAACCTTGAGATCAGAGGTTGCTGTACATTTCGCTTGTGTCCTTAGGCAAGGCACTTTCCTACGGCAGACCTTTCAAGTCTCACACATCAGGCGGGAGTCTCGGGCATTTAACTTCGACCTCACACCCTTACGCGAGGCCTACCGGTATATATTGCATGCATTCCAGAATTTCTTCAAATTATATTTTTTTTATGTGCTATTTCTCAAAACAAGCAAACAACATGTACAAACATGACGATCATCGCTAGCGATCCCATAGTGATCGTCGCTGTGTTTGACGCGGCCTCAACAGAAACTGAAGTAAACTAAATGGGATATCAAACTGGGACATTGTATCAATATATACACTGTAAAGGTGTATGTTATATCAACTGTTTTTTCTTTAAGGTTTGTGACCTCTCGCATAATTTTCAAAAAATGCCCAATCTCAAGCAAATTCAGAAGAAATCTCGAGCAATCCAGTGTAAGCTGTCATTCGACCCTATTTTTACCCCTCCTGTTATACTCCTACACTTTTGGAGTCCTGAGGAGGTCGGCTTTACCCACCAGAACTAGAATGTTTCAACCTTTATTGGGTCATTTTCAGAAATGATAAAGCATTATGGAATTCTCCCCAGGGAGCTGAGTATGTGTTCCATATGTGCTTGATCCAGTGACCGGGGGTAATAATGCGAGGCGCTTAGAGGCCTTGTTGGCATTAAGCATTATATAAGTCTAACATATTATTATAACATTATTATTAAAATCACAGAAAGAAAATGTTTCCCTATGGCTCCAGTGGGCGGATTCAAGGGGTTGGGGGGCCATGCCGGCCCAGGGCCCCTCCCCCTAAATGTTTCAAAATTTTTTTTAAATTGTGAAAAAAAGAAAATCCTACTCAAATTTTGAGTCTAAGAGTGCCATTTTCAGCCATCTAGAGGTACAATAATCAAAAATTTTTTTTACCTCAGCCCCAAGTACTGTATAGACCCTCCGTCTGTGAAAGCCCCTGTCTGGGCCCCCCTCTATTTCAAATTCCTGGATCCACCACTGGGTCACATCTGCATTTGTAAATAAATGTAGTTGACAGCCATAGGCCTACATTTCTTTACTGCATAAGCTCATACAGTACATAACGCTATAATTTACAAAATAAGTACTAAATAAATAAATGAATCTCCCAAAATGGTAATTTTGTTTATTTCATTCATGTTCCCTACATTTATGGCCATCTAGGATTCTAGAGGTGCTATATTCTTAAAATGTTCTCACCTCAGCCACAACCATAGTGGGGACAGCTTCCAATATGTAAGTGTCCCATATTTTTTCCCATAACCTTGACAGGTTTCTAATCTTATCAAATGATTACACAAAATTGTTTTAATTAATATCTTTAAAATATTACCAAATGATTTTCAAAGTATGTTTATTAATTTCTTTAAAATATAACAAAGTGTGTGAGAAATATAGGAATCTGTGAGGTTATATTTTATTCATAGGGAAAGTGTACTGATCAGTTGTCTCACAGTGACATTGGACAACCTTATTGAGGTTTGGTTAGGTGTTAAAAATCATGATACCATCCCACTGTTAAAATACTGGAACTATAAATCCTCTACAATTTTAATAAATATGTTATTATACATATGATATCTGAATCCAAGAGTTTTACTTTTGTTGAGAGGTTCTGATATGAATATGTTGGAACTAAGTTTCAGGTGCGGTTTTAGAGTGTTTTCTCAATCGGCCTCACTTTCCCCCCTTCAGACATCTCTGGATTACATGTTTACACTTTATAATTAAATTTTATTTTACCCAATTTATTTTCTGTCATCCTGAGTAAATGAAACAAATATGTACACTACTGTGTAAGTGTTGCTGCTAAGGTGTGGACCAAAAATAGTATAAATTTACGTACAGCTCATGTTTATGGGGCATTCCAGGTTACATAAAAATAACATGTCCTGATTGGTCGGTTATTAAATTTGATTGATACTCTTGGTCCATTACGATAAAAATTAAGATAAGATAAGGTAAACTATATATTTGTTGCTTGACTGACACTGTAAACAGTGAACTGATCTAATCTAATGTCAAAAAAAAAGATTAATTACAGACACAGTTAAATGTGCATCAGTTTATTTTATGCGGATGAGAGGAATAAATTTTGCTTAAAGATAAACTACGAGACATTTGAAAAAAGTTCTATACAGTGGTTGTGCATTTTTTAATAGGCTTGTACTGTGAAAAAATTGTCCCACAAGATTTACTTATAAGGCCTAGGCCTACCACTTTTTATAATATGACGTCATGACATCGAAAAGCTGTACTAAACCTGTTTTATATCTTACAAATCGATTAATAAAATTCAGGGGGCCCCAAAAACTTCTTCCTGTTATTCGTTGCTACACCACTGCCTACCCCTAATGATCCTCCACCACCTCAGTGGGTGTGGACGGGTGTTATTTAATTGATTTTCGAGTCTAATAAGTAGAAAATACATAATTTTTTTTTTCTCCCTGACGAATTGTCGTTTTTTTTTTCTCCACGAAGGGGCCTCTAGTGCCACCCTGCTCCACCTAAAAGTTACCGTACTACTGTACTATAAAATACCAGAAAGTATTGACGATTTGGCTAGGTAAAATATACAAAAACAACGGTGACAAATTATAGAATTCATAAAATCTAAGGGTATTGAAATGAGTTGGGGGTTGGCTGATGGAGGCGAGAATGTGAAGGGCTCAGTGATAAATTGATTGGGGGGGGGGCTAGCTGGCAAAAAAGGTGGTATTTGGTGATTGTTTACTTCTTAAGCGTAATTTTATTTGCTGTATGTTGTAGTAATGGATATTAATTACACACATCGCCTCAGAGTTATGTTGCATGACATGCATCAGCCTGCTAACAGGCGATAAGTGTAGTGTCTTGTCGTCGTGACATCACGCTCTTTTCATCTTATTTTAAATGTAAACGGTGTCATTAAACCGGATGCGCCCCGTGTTAAGTTTCCAATCGTGAATGATGAAGTATGAAAGCTTAAAACAGCTGATTATACCTGTCAAACAACACGCGTTTTAAAGTACCACGACCTGCCATACGTGATCGTCTGCATACCGCCGTGGTGTGACTGGTGCGCCATTTGACTTGGGATGGTGATCGATGTGGGTGTTCTGTTCTGCTGTGGTGGCTGAACACACTCCGCTACATCCGTGGGTTTGTTTTGATTCATTCTTGTGCGTTACTGCTCTTTAGATACCTCTGGCAAGGACTAACAAAACGTTGTAAAGAACACATGCTTTTAAACGGTTTCATGCTTTTCGATTGATTTGACGTAGCCAAAAATATTTAATTGCGGGAATAATTGCGCGGCTGAAATCATGCTGTTACGCTATTATGCTGCAATAATAATGGACAATTACAGCAGCAGAGCTAAATATGCAGAATGTATTTAGGTAATGAGTACCGGTATTGCATCTTTAGATTTTTAAGGCTTTGGGCTAAAGAGGTCTACTACCTCATTGCTGTAGGCCCAATACTGGTCATATTTGCTAATGATTTTATAATTACGATGTGACCGGTGACCAAACCTCTTTTAAAAAGTATCTCTCTAACGGTTTTAGGAGTAGGTCTAATGGAGGTCTACTACTACTCAACACCCAATGGATTTTGTCCAGTGAATATTCCCCCTCCCCGATTCACTGACACTGAATTCGACCCCTTTTATTGAATTTGTCACTGGGATATTATTTAAACAAATGGACCGAAGTTCCGAATATCACAAGGTGAAGAAATCCTCTTGACATTAGAGTCAGAAGCAATCTACCAATAGTGACGCCGGGATAAAGGCCAGATTGTCGAAAAACAATTTGCCGAATGCCAGATTGCTGAGTCCACTTTGCCGAAACCCAGTTTGCCGACTCAAAAACCATCCCAATTTGCCAAAACACAGTTTGCCGAAAGTCAATTAGAAGCAGTGAAATATAGCATACAATTTACGATGGAGCACTCTCTTACCATGACTGCATCTGTGGCGCAAGTGCGAAGTCAGGGCTAAGTTTGGCCCAAATAGTGTTTTCAGACCCACAATATTAGGGACTGGCAATCAAAATAACGTTATTTGGATAGGCAAGTTATTATTTGGTGCGACGATCTCGTCATTGCGTCGGACCGTACGACGGAGGAGGTGCGAAATACGATTCTTAAAAATCCTTCATTTCATTTTATTTCTAATTATAACTGATAGCCATGCCTTCAAGTGTGTATTTCCACAACATTGTTTTCCAATGCCTTTTAATTTATATATAAATACGGCTCCTCCCTGACCAACCCATCATGTTTTCAAAAGCACAGTACTGTATGCTGTACTTATGTACGACGGCGGTGACGGCAAGATTCGGCAAACTGTGTTGTCATGATTTTGGTGAACTGCATTCGGCAATCTGGGTTTCGGCAAAGTGGGCATAAAATCGGCAAACCGGCTTTCGGCAAACTGGTCGGATACCCGACGCGATCGTTCATTATGTCAGTGACTACCGTATGCTTCCAAAATGTTGTGTATCATTTTTATTTCGGTATGATACACAACTAAGATACACTCTTAGATATATGTTTGTGAGGCATGCGCGTAATCCTGGCTATTATATAACACACTGTGATTGGTCAGTTAGGTTGACACTCTGGAATTAGGCATTGAGCCCAGGAGGACTTCTGTTATTCTCAGAACACAATTCCGATGGGATAGACAGAGATAAATTGGCCCGGGGTATGGTAAACAATTTAAGAATTTCCATAGAAAAGAAATGTAAATCTGCTATTAGTGTCTGTGTCTCGTAGGAAGTTGATCAACTTTGGCCTGTTCCATGGTTTTAGATAAACAATTCAATATTTTTCTTCTTTTTCTTTCTTTTTTTTTCAGGTTTTTTTCACGAACGGTAGGCATAGACCTTTAAATTGGCCCAGTGACAACAAAAGTAAATAGTGCCAACAAACAATTAAATTTTGCCGGGCATGTATTAAATATTTTACAATCAAAATGTAAATGACATAGGCTTATAGACAGTAATTGAGATTTCAGCACACGATTCATATTAATTGTCTACCATTTAGGCATTTAAGTAAAAATATTTATATTAGAAAAAACCAAGAATAAAATGCGGTATCAATTCTAATGATTTGTGAGAGCCCGTCCAAGATCTGCCACCGGGTTGTGCCTTCTACCAACCCCGATGGCATCTCTATATTTTAAATTGTACTCCATTATAAAAGAATTGACACGTTTGAATAACACTGGCAAATAATAAGAATGTAGGCATACCGGTATTTCTTGTGGAAAACGAATCCGTTTTAGCATTTCTGTGGTGATCAGTTTTGGTAGATGAAGTGAACCGTTTATTTAGTTAGGTTCAATGATCGAGCGTTGTCCCACAGCAGTTGCGCTAATGTATTCCAGTGATGAAGAACTAGCCGGCAAAACAACCACGAACCGATCCGTAACCACGCGCGTTAATCCGTGGTTGAATCAAATCAATCCAATACGGTATAAACATTCCACAAAAAGTTAAAAGACCACCGGGAAATTGTTTTAAAACAAGCAGGTATAATAGCTTGTTATTATGGTTATACCTGCAGGGCATTTCGAAAACATAATGTAGAGAATGCATCAGGCATATTGACCGAATCGGGTAGGCTTATAATATATTTTTTTCTTATGATTTTGGTTTTTGGTTTTTGATTTTGATTTTGGATTTTTTTTAATTACAGGGTAGGCCTATTACTATTTAAATACCATATTAATAGGCCTACCAAGGAATATTATAGGCTTTGTTTAAGGAGCCTGGAAAATTGTACTGGTTCAGGATTTGACAGGTCCCAACCAAGGGTCCGCTAGGGGACAGTCTCGGAATAAAACCCATGCTGTTGGTCAAAGGATGAACAAAACTTGTGCTTTTAGGTGCATTATACTCCGAACTCTAATCATATCAACTTTGGGATCGACAAATTAATATTTTTAGTCCACCAACGACATAGTCCATGCTTGTCGGACGGAACAGTTCCTTCCTAGGTCACCCGCTCCTACATCCACACTACATTGTTCAATATAAACAACGGCTTCGATTTTGCAAACATTTTTGTGAGTTTTTCTAGCTGTCTGCATATTCCGCGACCGTACTGGTCGAAGTTGAGTTATCCGTTATACCCCCAAACCTGCGAACAGAAAGAAGTGTACAGTACCTTTTAAAACAACATAACTATTCTTTATTTTTTGCTAATTAAGATACTATTTTTAAGAAACACTTCCCTTTTTATCATCGGCATAGAAGAAATTGTGTAGCATAACATACAATCAAAATAAAGATATTTTAATAGGCCTGACTATTCAACTCTGTATTGTGTAAGCTGGGCCTAACAGTAGACAGAGTATAAGAATGGCTCATTGTTCTTATTTTTGGTTGATCTCGGGCTCAAAATCTTCTTATTTTGTTCTTATTTTTACACACTTTTCAAACATACAAAATTATCATTGTACAGCAGTATATTAGATTACTGTACTGCATTATAGAGGGTATCAGATAGTCCTATCTAATGCACATAAGGTACGGATATTTTTTTTTCTTTTCTTTAAATATAAAAACCTTATTCGACATTTTACC